TGCTGAAGGGAACCAGCAGTTAGCGTAATGGCTATGTCGCTGGACTCCCACGTAGTCCACCGCGGTTCACGTCCCGGACCCGGTGGCTTAAAACTCACACCGGGCACGTGTGCGTCCGTGCCCAAGATCCCAAGAGGAGAATGGAGGAGAAGGGATTGTGGCGTGACCATCCCCCCTGGGAGGTGATTTCTCGCTTTCTGTCTCTATGTCTCTCTGTCTGTCTGGCGAGCGCATGCGCCCTATAGCAAAAACCTCTCAAAAAAAAAAATGCTGAACAAATATTTACAACAATTTCAAGGGACCCCTAATTATTGACTTGCTGAAGATACTTATGGGTCTCTATTTGCCCTACCCACCTGGGAGCGCTTCCGGTGGGGCAGGTAGAAGGTATGAGGATAGGTTGGAGCTCTGTGGGGATACCTGAGCCTCTGCAGACATAGGAGAACCCAAATGCTCACTGGACACGTACAGGACTGTGTTGCATCCACACTCAGCATGACAAATGGAGAATGCAGGGAGGCACCATAATGTTAAGCATCTTTTCATCAACTCAGGATAAGCAGAAGATTCCAGGAGTCCTGTGTGTATGTGTAGGGTGTGCTGCTGCTCACTGAGCCCCTGTGTGGGGGCTGTGCCTAGCCTTCTTGTAAATGCAACGTTGGCATAACCTTTGGAGTTATTGACAGCATGCCCCTGGGGGGCTAGCTGGGAACTGCTTTGTAGGAGTAGAGGGATCAATGACAGCTCTTGAACAGACATTGCAAAAGAAGTCTCCTGCTTTGTGAGGACCCAGAGCCTTGAACCTTACACCATCTGCAGGCCCTCCAACAACACAGGCTGTTGCAGTTTCATGTTTCTGGCTATTCTTGGCATTCCATGTCATTAAAGGAGCTGGGATACAACTGCCCTATGGAGCATTAAGGAGCATATCCCATTTTCCAAAAGCTTTAAACATCATTGGTCTTCTTTATGGATATTCCAAACCTCCATGCTCCTGAACTGATACTGGACTGCTAGATAGTCTCACGGAGCTCATACTGTCTTCAGCAGCTCTGCAGTCCAGACATACCTTATAAAGAGCTCAGCCAATACAAAGACTAAAGCCTAATTTCTGGGCCAGCCCTATAGTGTAGTGGTTAAGTGCTGCACAAGGGAAGCCAGATCCCCCATGGGTCATCATGGTTCAAATTCCAGCCCCTGAGACTTGAGAAACATGCTGGGTATGTGCATGAGTGCCCAGGATCCTGGCTGGATGGAGAACTGAAGAAAAAAAGATTGTGGAGTGACCAGACCCCACTGAGGCTTACATTCTCTCCTCCTCCTTCATATTCACTCTCTGTCGCATGTATGTGCATTAAAAAATAAAAAAAACAGGGACCAGCAGATGGCATAATAGTTATGTCGCTGGACTCCCATGTATTCAACCATGATTCGAGTCCCGAACCTGTAGCTTAAAACTCACACCAGGCATGTGTATGTGTGTGCCCAAAATCCTGAGAGGAGAATGAAGGAGAAGGGACTGTGGCATGTCCATCCTCCCTGGGGGGTGATTTCTCGCTTTCTGTCTCTCTGTCTCTATCTCTCTGGTGAGCACATGCGCCCTATAGGAAAAAAATCTCTATTAAAAAAAAAATAACAAAGCAAAACCCAAACCCTCATTTCTGACCTTAGTACATGTCTGAATCTTTCTTTAGTTTTATTCTCCGCTTACTAAGCAACAACAGGCCTTTCTGTTAGCTCACTCAGTATAAATGGACATAAACCTTGCTACACAGGAATTTCCTGCAAAAGCTCACTAATAAGGCATGTATGAATCGAGGCGCTGTTACGCTAGAGTCTCTAGCATCTCCAGATGGTCTTGGATGCATGCATTCTTCCCATTGCCGGCCCTGTACGTTTAGGGGCACGGCAAGATGTCATGGCCCAGTCAAGGGCCCTGAAGCCCTCGAGACCAGAGCTGCATCCAAGTGTCACTCGCAGACTCTGTGACTTGTGCAAATTACTTAGCCTTTCTGAATCTCTTCTGAAAACGGAGATACTAATTTCTGTTCTGCGTGGTTAGTGTTCAGATGACAGACAATGTTCAGAAAGTGCCAGCATTTCTCAGCCCCTTTGAAGACCCAATAAATGATGGTTATTATGTTATTATCCCCAGGGCTGCTACTTGTACCACTGGGCCTCCTTCACAGACCAGATCAAGGCACCAGGAAGAGCGACAAAAACAGTCTGAGGGAGCCTGATTCCTCCTCTGAGAGACATCAAAGGGATCCCCTAAAAGTAGAGAAATGCTCCAGTTCAGAGAACCTCCCCAGATGGAGGTCTCTAGACTCGTAGGTGCCCAAAGAGACCAACTCACAAACAAACCAAAAATTGCCACTAAAAAAACTCTGTTTTCTCATATTGGGATCATTCATAGAATAGTCTATGGAAAATGAACATAATGAACATTTTTGCTTCTAAAATATGTTCTCTTGGGGGGAAAGGATAAGAGGAGTCTCTTGTTATTAGATCCCTCCAATCTTACAGGGAGCGGCATGGAGGACACCCAGTTAGGTAAGGAGGAATGCACCGTACAGGAAGTTTCTCATGAAAGGCAGAATGTGGGCCGTGGGGCTGTTTGAGAATTTGAGATATTTGCCTCACTTCTTGATTTTTTTTTTTTTTGAGAGGTTTCTCTGCTATAGGGCACGTGCACTCGCCAGACAGACAGAGAGAGACAGAGAGACAGAAAGCGAGAAATCACCCCCCAGGGGGGATGGCCACGCCGCAATCCCTTCTCCTCCATTCTCCTCTCAGGATTTTGGGCACACACGCACACGCGCCTGGCGTGAATTCTAAGCCACCGGGTCTGGGACGCGAACCGCAGTCGACTATGTGGGAATCCAGCGACATAGCCATTACGCTAACTGCTGGTTCCCCACTTCATGATTTTGACAGGACTTTTACTATTTTATTTTTTACCTGCGGTGTCTTTTTGAGGGCAGTAGCAAACTGAACACTCCACTTCCATCATGTGTCTGTCTCATGTCCTCAGTGTGACGGGTCATTCTTTGAGTACCTGAGTCTCTTCAACGTGTGAAAACTCTGTGGCACCTCTCCCACGTCTCTGCCCATCACTATTTCTTCTTCTGATTGACAGAATGTTTCCTGTATTTAAGGCCCATTTGGTAGGTGAAGTCTTCTTTAGAAGAGATGTTTTGAATACAAACCCCACAATCTTCCCCAAGCTTGCTTAAGCAAGAATAGGGATTAGTTGCAAGGCTATAGGCTTTTATCCCAGAAAACACAGGTAGGGAGTGTCCCTGGGAAGCAGAAGGGACTAGAAATAGAAATTGAGATAGTCTAGGAAATAATGACCTCTGAGGCCACTTGGTCTTCAATTCATTCTGACCTCCCTCTGTCCATCTGTATTATTTATCTGTGTTTCTGTCTCTGCTTCTCCCTGTATTTCTGTATGTCTCTGTCTCTTTCGCTTTGTTATTTTACTCCCCTCTGGTTTCTTAAAGGCTCAATCCAGTCCTGACACTGAGTATCCTTATACTGGGAGCCATAGAGACTTGACTTAGGTGTTCTGTGTTCCATTTCTAACTTGCCAAGGGAAAAATCATCTCAATAGTTCATCCTTTTCTCTAGGTGGGTCCTCAGTGAGTCAGGAGAGCTACTTGATCTGTCATTCCAAAAGTCACAAGGACGAAAGATGCAGTCCTATTTCTCCAGCTATGAAAACTTCCTGAAGACAAAAATCAGTCTGTCCACTTGATCCAGCACCCAGTAGGTCCTCTGTAAAATTGACTGATTGGTTGGTTGGTTGGTTATATACTGCACATGGGGCTTGACAATTCCTACAGTGCGAGCATAGCTTTCAAATTGTCACTTGTGCCCTCTAAGAATAAATTTCAGATCATCCAAGCTGAGTCGAGTGTTGGATTCATTTATTTTACTTTCTGTAGACCTTCTGGGTAAAAGGCAGGCTCATAAAACATGTGTATGAGCTGAAAAACTTGGGGTACTTGCAAGGATGAAATGTAAAGTGTAATTTAACAACATTACAGATAGCATCCAGGCTCCTGGGAGGATGTGATGGGTACCAAGCTGCTGTGTGTTTTGGTGTCTTGGAAAGTGCAGATCCTTTAAGAGACACTATGTCTTCCCCAGATACTTGCAGATATTGAGGCAGGGGGAAGAAGCGAATGGTCTTTCTTAATTATCAAAAGGGACCACACATTCTTTGCCTAGATGTCTCTGCCCTCCCTGGCTCCC